TGGTGGTGACGCGATTGGAAGAGGAACTCGTCGCGGTTTTGCCTAGAAAGTGATTGCGGTTGGATGGAGGCTCGCAAATGGGTGGCTCTTCGAGATGCATGGTCGATGCAGGCAACAATTGATAGCATGTCTGGAGGGCTGAGTCGCGAGTGATGGTCCTGATTGTAGCAGATTTGATGTCGAACCGACAGAGACTGTTGGGAAGAACAATGTCGAGTTACTACATCTGTTGATTTAGATGTGTCAGGTTTGTGTGATTCGAACTTGTATGTATGAAAAGTTATTGTGAGTTGATGTTATGATTTTGAATCATTGAAGACGAGCTTGTATGTTGAGTGATTGATGATGTTCTGAAAGTTGGTGATTGAAGTGAAACTGGGTGTTGAAGTTATGATTTTTGAGGAGAGCTTAAGGATTATCTCAATAGAGCTTGGGGTTTGTGAAAAATATGGAGTCGATGTGAAGTTGGTGTCTGAGCAAAGGGAGGAAATCTTACAGGAAGCTTATGGAAACTTTGGTGAGTGTTATTGGTATCTTGAATTTTTTTTCTCTGCCCCTTCAAATGGTGAGAACAACAATGAGAAAATCAAGAAGGGTCCATGTACGCATTCTTCATCTCTTTTCTCATTCCTCTGCAATTCATTGTCGGTGTAGTTCTTTGTGACTGAGCTTTTGTGTTGTTTTGTTACAAAAATGATGGAGATGTGTTGTTGTGGTTTAGCGATGGTGTGATTACTAAGAGTATACAAGTTATTTGTTGTGAAGGCTTGAAGTTTGGTAGTGAATATGGTGGTAGACAAAGGTGTGGTCGTGAGAAAAGTTGCAGGGTGAGGTGTTGAAGGATTCGAAAGTGTTTGAGCAGAGTTTAGTGAAGGTTTTCTTATTGGTTTTTTTTGTGATTCTTAGTTGTATTGAACAAACTTCTTTCTCCGCCCCTTTCTGTTGAGATGAAACACCAATTTATAGGAAAAGAACTGATGAAATTTGGGGGGAAATTGTGAGATTTGAACATATTTAGGTTTTGTTTCATTGCTTTTTCTAACACAACTTTGAATTGCCATTTTGGTACTATCTTTGGTGCAGTTTTTTTTGGCATTTCATGGGACTGCTTTGAACAGATTTAGCAGTAGCAGCATATGACAACAAACTTTGTTGTTTTATGGACAAAGAGGTTGATGGTCATGTAACAACACGATATGAAGTTGAAGAATGACAATTTTCTATTGAAAGAAAGTGGAAACAATGACACCCACCAAATGTGGTTCCACATTGCTATTTTTCTTTCTTATTTTTTGACAAAATAAATAATGACAAAAAAAAAAGAATAATAATTAACTAAAAGAGAAATGTTAGTAACAACTAAAATAATAATATAAAAAAAGCAATAACAATAATAATAATACTAATAACAATAAAAGTAATAATAATAATAATAATGAAAATACAAAGTAAAAGCGATATTAATTTAACTATTTGTGTTTTCTCTTGAGTTAAAATAAATTAACAAAAAAAAAGGAAAAATACTTATATAAATATTTTTGAGATTTTTAACTTAAATGATATAGAAATATACATTTGAATGAAAATAATAAAAGACTAATTTTTTTTTATATATCTTTTAATTAAAAATGCAAATAAAGATGAACATGGCATGAACTAAATATATTTTTTTGAATTTTTTTTAATAATAATAATAATAATAAAATAAGTGATGACTAAGATAAGAAGAAAGGTGAAAAAATGCATGATTTTATAAACTCGGACAAAGCACAATTGAAATTAAATTCAAATTCACTAAATTCACAAAACGACCTCTAATGTTTCCCCCCTCATTTTAATGGCTTTTAAAGCATAATCAGCTCTCGAATTGTAACGAAAAGTTATAGATGACGCCAAGGAGAATCATATGTAAAAATAATCGCTAAAAAATTTCGAAATTTGAAGAAGTTGTAAATTTTTGAAATCTGACTTGAGAATTGGCAAAAATAGGTAAAACCACTCGTGAACACTTGCTATACAATGATGCAGATGCAATATGGGATCTTAGGTAAAAAATTTGGGTATGACAATATCCGAATAAATCCTTTAATTTAAGTACAAGGGGTTTTCAGATATGCATGTTCGAATGATATTAATATACACAAAATTTTGAAACAGAATATGTCTTTTCCATTTCCATGTATATTTCAACTCTCTTTATTCCAACTCTTTTTTTTTTGCAATCTTTGAGCAACACTTTAAACTCATTTCAAGAACAAAGTACATTTTCAAGAAGCAAAACACATTTTCAACCCATTTCAACAACCCTTCAAAACTTCGAATTTGAGTAAGTTTCTCCTAATCCATTGTTCTACTTTGCAAATGTAAAATATGTTATTTAGAATCATGCAAATTGAGTTGGTTGAAGTGAAACTTGTAAAATATGGTTGTTTGGGTGTGAAAGGGAAGTGTTTGGGTGATTTAGGGCAATAAGCTTCAACTGGTCTGTAAATGGTTGTCGTAGGTTATTTCAGATATGCATATCCGAAAACCCCTCTGAGTGGTTTCAGATATGCACATCCAAAATAAAGTCTGGGTTATTTTTAAAAGTTTTTCGAACTTGTTCAAACTTATTCCTTCCTTTAGTAATTGTTATTTTTTCCAGGATAATGGCTGAGAATCCGAACGTCAAATTGAGACTTGGCAGACCAAGTCAGACTGTCTCTGCTCGACATGAGAGAGTTGAGCAAGCTACTAGGAATCAAGAATTGGGTAGGTACCGCTGAAGGAAGTGGAAGGAGGATCCCCTTCAACTTCTAGGAGTTCGAGGAGGTTGATACACTGACTGCACGTCTACATGCAACAATGGGGCAGCAAAACCTAGGGTATCCAAGAGGGCCCTCTAACACCTCCATATTGATCTATTATACTGATCATGTCGCTCCACATGTTTGGAATTGATATATATATATATATATATATATATATATATATATATATATATATATATATATATATATATATATATATTATACTTTTTCATTTAAATGATTTACGCACAATATCTTAACGACTAACATCGACATTAATATTTTTTTAACATGAACATCGGCCAATAAAGTTCGTGAACCACACACGAAAAATATTTGAGTTACAACATCCCAATGCAGATTGGTTCAAGGAGGCCGTTCTTGGCTCGAGACTTACTGGACTTTATTATTGCGGTTACGGTACTATTAGCAACGACACGCAAGGAGCATTTGCCGAGAGATGGCACAAGGAGACCTCATTTTTACATTTTCTTATTGGGGAGATAACGATCACACTTGACGATATCGCACATCCGCTACACCTTCCTATCAAATGAAGATTACTTGACCACTCTCAAATTACTCGTGGTGAAGAGATTAAATGGACGGTCGAGTATTTGGGAGCTCAACCATAAAAGGCATTTGAACAATATGGCTAAACTAATGGGGCTCATGCCAAGTTCTCATTTCTGGGCCAACTATATGACGAGCACCTGGATGCGATAAATGCTGCCGAGAGTGAGGGCGGTGGTACCAAATTCTCTTATTCCTTTTCAGGAATGGATCATTTCTCACTTCCACCGTATTTATGGTTTCAATTATGAGCCATATTATATTGAGGACATGTCGAGGGCTGCCAGGTATAACCCTTATAGATGGAATCATTTTGTGATGCCGTTTCGGGTGTATCTCGATCAGACTGCTCATTACAATATCATTTGGACGCCTTTTGAGGATCACAAAGAGATTGTCCCATTCGACTCCATCTCATTATACTCATGCTAGCTTGCATGTGGGATAACACTATGGTCATATATCTTCCAGAGTGATGCATTCGATAATTTGGCTATGTGCAAACCATACCCAGATCTCCCTTTCAGGCAGCTTCCGACACTATTGTCCATTGGGAGCTCGATGGTATCTTCCAGGATTAGGAGAATCATATGGTGCCAGAAGAGGCTCGGATGATGCAGGCATCCATCAGTTGGCATTGTGTAGAGGGATACGCCATATTATTCTACATAATGTCACACTTTATTATGACACCAAATGCTTCTGGACGTCTATCTAGGGCACCCCATGAGTAAATCTTAGAGAATCAGCAGACCCAAGATGACCATGCCACTAATGTCTTTTCGATCTGTCAGCAGATACATTTGATTGGGTCGAAAGCTTTGGACTTAGGGATCATTGAGAGGGGTAATCATGAGGTGGTGGCCATCGTAGAAAGGATGATTAAGGATGCATCTCTTGCAGCGGGTTACACGAGGAAGAGGAGGGATCAGAGGGTTAGGATTAGGCATACGCAGTAGACTATGTCTTTCTTTTATTTACTGATGTATTTATTTCACATTCCGTATTTTCTAAACAATTTATGTACTAATTTCCGGTATTTATGAACAATTTATGTTCATATCATTGTCGGTATTTGATATTTCGGTATTATTTAAACAAATTACATATCAAATATTTGACATTTATTTGGTACCATATTGATATTAAAAAAAAAACAGCATTATGTCCATGGTTTCAGAGATGCATATTCGAACGAATCATAAAATCAATTCTTAAGGTGTTTCAGATATAGATATCCGAAAATATCACTGAATGTTTATTAACGTGTAAATATGGAGTTTTCAGATATTCATTTCTGAAACACCTTAAAAATTGATTTAAGAGTTCGTTCAGATATGCATTTTCGAAAAATATTTTAGAGTTTTTAGATGTGTTTTTCACTCGTATAAGAATGTTTTAAGAAATTCCCTTAGAAACAAGTAGAAACTATAAAAAGCCCATTATATCCTCCTAGGTTTGGCCCAAAACTCTGCGCGCGTTGAACAAAATTGCATAAGCGGATAACGGTACTTCTCAGTTCGTTCTCACTGGAACTTCATTTCCACAACCACCACCACCACCACCACCACTACTCACTCTCACCACCATCAACAACCATCAATAACCGTTCAAAAACCACAAACCTTAACAGAGAAAATGCTAGCATGTACTAACAGTATCTTCCATGGCCCTGCCACAACATTCCACCGCCAATCCCAGCCTTCTAAAATCCTTCTCTCCAAGCCTCTCCTCTCCTCTCGCCTCCCTCGCGCAGTCAATTTCGGGAAATTAAAGTTCCATTCTCCGTTTTCCGGAGAGAATGGTTCCCGCCGTTTCGATGTTAAATCTTCGGTCAATTCATCGTCAGAAGTTTTGGAGTCCATTGATATCGGTGTCCCGCACAGTTCCCTGCAAAAGCATTCCGTGAAGATTCCAGTGGGTGATAGACATGTAAGTATTTTTCTTGATTTTGAAGGGATGCATTTGTTTTCAGCTTTGTTGCACGTGTTTTGATTGCGAAGTGATTTACGTTTGAATTTTGTTTTTGTATGATTTATCATAAATTATAATACTCCTGCTGCGATAGTTGTGGTTTGTTATGGTGAAATGAAACAAATTGGTGAATCTTGCAATTCATATTGGTGACATGGAATCATACTGGGCCATACATGTAATGAACAGTTCAATGCATTTTTTATTCAACATATACTATGAATATCAATAACAATTTATGTGGTATTCTGCAGATTTTGGTTGAGACTGGTCACATGGGAAGGCAAGCAAGTGGTTCTGTTACAGTTACGGATGGGGATACTGTAAGTTTCCATATTTCTTTTGATTAGTTTATTCATTATTGTGAACATTGTCATATAGATCATAATCATGTTAAAAAGGAAGCCTTTTATGAGTCTCTCTGAGGGCCATTGTATTAGCTTATAGAAGTGATTTTACGATCGATGTTAATTACACCCATGTTTGTCCATGGCTATTGTATATTGATAGGCCCAAGATATATGTGCATGATAATGAAGTGAAATTGGGCTCATGAACACGGGTCTGTGAGTTGGTGGAGGGATTCTAGGATTAAGAAACAAAAGGGAAAATGAGAAATATTAAAAGAGGGCGTCTAACAGAATGGGTATCAAGATAATTGTGAAAGGAATTTGGGGAAAAGCTGAGTGAAGAAGTTGGTTCTTCCTCAGGAAAGGGTAGTCATAGTTTCAATAGTTTGTAATTTTCATTTGTTCATCTTGTAAGGAGCATAGCTCCACTGTTATCTTCCTTTTAATTTGTTCTACTGGTTTCTTCTCAATTTCAATGTCAATATCAGATTCTGGTCCCCATCATACATGTTAGGAAACATATATTGATATTGAAAGTTGATAAGTTCCAAATGCATCACCTGGCCATATCTCTAGTTGATATCTATGTTATCAGCCTTGGATAGCAGCGCGGCACGGCCATCTCCAAAAATGGAACGACACGGGAGCAGGGAGTGGAACGACTGATATTTTAGTGACGTGGACACTAATACAGTTGTTAAAAACTAAAATAAGTTTATCAAAATTTATGAATTTATATTCAGAAATAAAAGTCTAAAAATAATCTTGCTATCCTTAAAATTTAAGGGTAATATCATATGCGGCTGACACTCAGAGCGGCATTGTTCCAAATCCAATCCCATTATTGCGGCCGTACCAGCCGAGTCACCCATCCGTGACGGAATGCCACAGTCTGACACGGTTTTCTTGGTTTGCTGTTCAGTGCCGAGATAACGGCCGTTCCGGCTGAGTTTAATAACATAGGTTGATATGAGACTCTTAATGCCCTCCCTCACGCTCTTGACTAGATACTTGAAGCACAAACTAATGTAATTGAAATGACAGAGACCCCAATATGCACAATGGCTTCTATGATAAGCCAATTGTTTTTCGGACAATTATCAGATACGTCGGTAGCAACTATCTAACTAACTAATAGTTTTTAATAGAACCATAAGTTAATTAACACACTCATTTGAATGATATTTATATACATAATATCTAATTAACTGCTGAGACTCCACATCAACTAAAGATATGGGCAATGTAGTCCTTATAAAGCTTGTGCAATCCTCACTTCTTAAACTAGTTTTTAGGGTTGAGTTAGATGTAGCCTAAATTCTAAAAAGGGATCAGGGTTTATGAGAGATCTGTTACCAGGCCACTCACATTTGTCAACACTCTAGATGTCTAGTCTTAGGCGTGTTGTTATTAGGCTACGTGAATTTTTCCACGCTCCAATATCCAATCCTAACCCCAATCCAAACAAACTCTAAGAGAGACAATAAATACAACTTACAAGAGTAATCAAGCGGACTCAAAACAAAGATACATGACATTTATAGTGGGCATGTATTGTCAAAACTGAAGCCATATGTGCTTTCACCCTATAGCTTAGTTCTTGGGATAGTTCATTTGTGACCAAAAACATTTTCATTGCATTCTTGCAGATTGTGTACACCACTGTTTGTTTGAATGATACTCCTAGTGAGCCATCCGATTTTTTCCCCCTTTCTGTGAATTATCAAGAGCGCTTTTCAGCTGCTGGTCGTACTAGGTATGTCTTACACATACTTCTGATCATTTATTTATTTATTTTCTTTTTTCCGATTTTCTATTATGTTTTGTAGTGGAGGTTTCTTCAAACGAGAAGGAAAAACCAAGGATCACGAGGTACTACTTTGGATTTGTTCTAACTTCTCTAATTCAATTGAAGATGTCTATTTTTCATGGTAGAGTTTTCCTTGTTAGATCCAAATAGCTCTTTTTGAAGAAAAGAAGAAATGTTACTCAAGTAAATTTTTTGCTATCTGGAAAAGGCTTTTGTTCTTAATTCTTTTCCTTATTTTTTATCCTCATCTGTTTCTTGCAGGTTCTTATTTGTAGATTGATTGATAGGCCTCTGCGTCCTACTATGCCTAAGGGCTTCTACCATGAAACTCAAATATTATCTTGGGTATGGTCCTTACAATTTCCTTTCATAAAATATTTTGCTCGATAACCAATAAAATGTTATTTGGATTAAACTGATGTAGTAGCTTGACCCTGTCAATAGTTATATGATGAAATAAATGCAAAATGCAACAGATTAATTACATTGGCCGTGAAGCAAAATATTGGATCCAGAAAGTTATTTTTATTTAATTTTGACTTAATAATTTTTATAATATTTTAAAATATTATATGCATCATCTCCATATTGGACATTTGTATACTTCTTGTTAATTAATTGTACGTGACATGAAAAAACATGTAATTAGCTAATAATTGGTTAGTCAATATGTTTTTTTGAATTTATTAAAACAACATTTATTCATTATTTATTAAATTAAACTTCAGGGACACCACTGTTTAAAAAAAAAAGCTTATAGAGATCCCTCACCCTCTTTCTTGTTGGTTTTCAGTTGGTGTTAAAAAATACCACAAGTTTTATTGTTGATGAAGTATTTTCTAAAGAAATTGACTGGTGGTAAGAACGTATAGCTTCCTGTTGATAATTCAAGTGGGAGATATAACCAGGAGTCTAGGAGATATAACAACTTAACAATGTTTATTTCATTTCTCCGCTGTACTAACCTAAAGGATTCTTGTATTTTGCTTTATTCTTTCTTTACTCTATTATGCTTTTAATCATATGTACCTTGTGGAAAATTAGCATATGATGTTGTCAGCTGTGAATTTATTCTTCCAGGTTTTAAGCTATGATGGGTCTCATGCCCCCGATTCCTTGGCCATCACTGCTGCTGGTATAGCACTGTAAGTTGGTCATTTTTATTTTGCTCCCAACTCTGGGCACTTAGACCCCATGCACAGTGCTATCTATTTCTTTTTTAAATATTAACAAAAATTTCTCACACTTTATATTCTGTACTTATGTTTGCTGAAATATAAAATTAAAAAGAGTCGAGTAAATAGACTAAAGAAGTACAAGTAGAAAAAAAGATAAGATATCTTGTAAAAGATGTCAAAATAACACATACACCCAATAATCTCATAGATGCAAAATATAGATAGACACATATCTAAGTTAAGTCTGAGGTGCTTTGGTCACATACATGAAGCTATGTCTAGAGGCACTCTATGCATCACCATCATTCCTAATAATATAATTTCCACAGTGCACTTTCAGAAATTCCTGTGTCAAAAGCAGTTGCTGGAGTTCGAGTTGGCCTCATTGGTGATAAGTATATAGTAAATCCTACAACTGAGGAGATGGAAAACTCTGAGTTGGACCTCATGCTGGCGGGCACAGATAGCGCAATATTGATGATAGAGGTAATAACATCACTTGTTTGTGGCCAATAACATGTTAGGGATATGATAATAGAAAAGATGTTGGCTATCATTGTTATTTATAATTTGAAAGAAAATCACACATTTATATCATTATATGCCTTGGTTTAGTGCAGTCTGCGGGGGGAAATGCTGAAAAGGGAAAACTCAAAATTGCTGTTATTAATTTCCAACATTTAACAAGGACTTTAATTTAGAAGTAGTTTTTGTATTTTTTCATATAAAGATCCAATATTTTTTCATATAAAGATCCAATATTTATCCACATCAAGTACATGCTATCCCAGCTACCAGATTTTGTTATTGAACTATCACCTGTCAGTAGGGCAAACAGATTCCCAAATTTTCCTACCAGAATTCCATTTATTTTGCAAAAGACTAACTGTTACCACATACTTTCTGCCTTATCTTAGACAAGTTGCTGGAATTTGCATTGAAGTTGTTACATAGAATGCTGGGGAAATAATAACTTCCCAGAATCTGATATCTTTCCCGTCTTGATTCTTCGAACTCTTATAGTTGTACTTCCATACTAAATGAACTGGTTTAAAATTTTATTGCAGGGTTATGGCAATTTTCTTCCAGAAGAGAAGCTACTTAAAGCTGTAGAAATTGGTCAGGTTGATATATTATCGCAGTGCTGCCTAATATAGTTAGTTAGTAAAGATTTGTTTCCATAATTAGAAAAGATTATCAGACTACCAAAAAATTATTTCAGACACTTTTGCATCTCGGAGTTTGTAGACAAGCTTGCTAATTATTAGGAATGTCCTTTTCCTCCCCTAAACTCATATGCATGTGTTCTTAAAATATTACTGGCTCTGCAAATGTACCATTATACCATATAAAATAAATTATCTCACGATTTTATTTCAACCTTCCATTACTCAACATAAATCTAAGTAGATTATTAAGACCTATAAATAACTCCTCTTTTTTATTGATTATTATGCCATTGGGCATTGTAAATATTCATTAGAAAAAGGTACTATGGTTATTCTTCCGTACAAAAGTAAGCCATTTGCCTCCCTAAAGGATTTTGTTTTAGGTATAAATGGTTTGATATAATTTATGTTACTGATGTTTTTATTTTTATGTGTTATTTGTTTTCTTTTATTGTTTATGAACAGCTCTGCATTGATGTTTAATATTTTTCCTATTGTCTATTGTCAGGATGCAGTGCGAGCAATCTGCAATGAGGTAGAAGCCTTGGTCAAGAAATGTGGGAAGCCAAAGATGATTGATGCCATCAAGTTGCCTCCTCCCGAGCTTTATAAACATGTTGAGGTATAACATTTGCGATCCTACATCATCTTTTGTTTGTTTTATGATAAACTTTTTTGAAAGTGTCCCTGCTTCATGAAATTCTCTACGTGAGATATTATTCTTTTCCCCACAGTTCCTGTATTACTTGCAATTTGTTTCCTTTGTTTGTACAACAGTACTTAGCAGGATGGATACTATTGACTTTATCAAAGACCTGGATAAGATAATCCTTGCTAAACAGATCAGTATAGGGCCTCCTGAGTTTGGACAATCTCGCAGTCCTCATCCACATGTTCATTTTCCACAAGATTGTAACCCTTGCACTTTTTTCTGGGTGTATTTGCATGCAATCAAATGGTCTGTTATATTGAACACATCTACCCTCTCCCCTTCTAATAAATTCTTAATATGGTGGCTGCTGGACTTTTTGATTTCTGTCTGGATTTGTACTGATTGGTCTGAAGTTTCTAGTCTAGTAAATTGGAGCTATATCCTCTCTTATTTCCTATTTGATAATTGGTTGGACCAGTTATATTCCTTACTCGGCCCAAAGATGACTGCCCTCGAATCAAGCTGGTCAATGGACCCTTTGCCGGAAACAATTTCTGGGAGGAAAAGTATACTGCTTCTATTCCATATCTAGTCAGATTTATGCCTTTCATGATGCTGATGATGCTGTGGTTGTGTATCTTCACTCTCATTTCAGTTCTCATTTCCCCAAGAAACACCCCTAGAGTGGTTCCTCTTAAATTTCAGAAATTTGCCATGATACGTAATCCGGTGTGATGTTTACTGGTTTTTTTTGTTGCTGAAACCTTCCTCTAGTCATTTTGGCATATAATCAGTTTGTTACATGCACGGGTTTATGAAAGTAATTGGCATTGACTTGTTTGACTATCATGTTTAACTTAATGATTGAAGGATTTGTTAAATAGTTCTGTTGAATATGTGGTTAGGATAAAAACTGAAGTGAGTGGTAGTATGCAGGAAATCGCTGGTGATGACTTGATAAAAGTTCTTCAAATTAGAAATAAAATACCGAGAAGGAAAGCCCTTTCATCATTGGAAGAAAGGGTTCTTAAGATACTGACAGAAAATGGGTTTGTCGTTGATGAATCGGCACCAAGGAGTAATGCTGAAACCATCGCAGAGATTATTGAGGATGTGGATGAAGATGAGGAAGTAATTGTTGATGGTGAAGTTGATGAAGGCGATGTTCATATAAAGCCAACTCCACGCAAACCAACTCCTTTAGTAAGCACCACTCATGTAGTTCTACAGTCTTCATTTTTTCTTTTCGATTATAAAGCGAGACATAATATTGGTATCATAAACTCAGTGCTCTCTTTGCCCAATGTTATGTTTCATTAGCATGTTTAGGTTAGCCATGCAAATATATTGTGTTTCTTGAATGAGCTAATTTTTATCTTTCATTTTTCTTCTTCTGTAGTTTCTTTGTAGGCTTACAAGGATTACTAATAGCATCTACATTCATGTGTGCTTCACTTATTTAGCACTAACCTAAATAGCATCCAGAGAAGTTTGTACATTTTCTTTTCCCGGTTTATGCATACTATTCGTCAATTTTTGCTGGCAATAGACATTATGTTCTTTCTAAATTATTTTCATGCATTTGAGCTAGTATACTTTCTTCCTTTGTTCTTGGAACTACTTGATTGATCAATTAATGTAAAGTTTATGTCCTTCCCACTTGAGTGCCTGTTGTTTTGAATTCATTTTATTTTACCTTTGAACTTGTATATATTGTTGCTTCTTCTTACAGTTTTCTGAGGTAGATGTGAAGTTGGTATTTAAAGAAGTTACGTCCAAGTTTTTGAGGAAACGTATAGTAGAGGTATGGACACCTAACATAAAATACTATTCCAACATAATTATATAAGCATGATTTATTTTCTGTCTTAGTGGGACTTTATCCAATGAACTTTTAGAACTCTGTTTTCTTCATGACTGAAAAGATCTTGCCCTAGAAAGTAGAAGAAATAGGTATGAACCCTACAGAATGATATGATAATATAAGTAAACATATCTACTCAAGCATTTGTAGAAGCACAAATGGAACAATTATTCCGCCAAGAGAGTCTTCTGGGAGTTTCTGTTTGTAAATATTGAATCTACCAAGCAGAAAGAATATTTGTTTATCAATTCCTTTTCTATGCATGTACAGGGTGGGAAAAGGAGTGATGGGAGAACACCAAAAGAAATCCGCCCAATTAACTCATGTTGTAGCGTATTACCTAGAGCACATGGAAGTGCTCTTTTTACGAGGGGTGAAACACAGGTGTGTTGTGACTTTTCCTTGTCTCCAAGTTTATGCTTTGATGTTTTGTGGTGCTGTCTTTATATGCACATGCAGCTAAGAAGACTGGATACTAAACAAGGAAAAGGGTTGGTGGTGTCAGACACTTTGTATATTTTGTTATGTACTACTCTTGCCTAATTTATAAGCAAAAAAGACAAATTTCACATTTATTATGGAAGATAGTTAACTGCATTTAATTTTCATGATTTCATGCGAGAGTTAACATAATTACTAATACACCCTCAATTAAATTGTCATCCACTAACGTTATTAAGTAATTAATGCAGGGATAATTTTGGAATAAATGCATTAAATGCACCTAGATTTGTTGACATTTGCTTATATTTAAGGCCAGAAAATTTAGAAGACTTTTGCTTAGCCGGAGGGAGTATCTCAAAAGTATCCCAACTTTTTTATTTGTTTTTAAAAATGATTTTTGTGGACACTCTTTGGATATATTCCCATACTTCGCCATATTCGTGGACACTGAAAAATTCTTTTTTAGTCCTTGTTTGAAGATTATAAATTACTATTAATGAGGAATGATCAATGTCTCCTTTTTTAATAATATGTATCTATATAAGCTTACTATCGAATCATAAATTTCAAAAGTTTCCTGTATCATCATATCTGTGTGGTACTGTGTATCCAGACTTCATACTCATGCAGTCATATATCAATTCTCTTTTACCTTTTTCAATTGTTTTGTCGGAGAGAGATTTGAAGTTGTGTGATTTTAGGTAAAAGATAAGAGAAATATTATCGATAATAGCTTAACATTGACTTAATACAAAAGACTTGACAATAATCCTTATTTATAGGGTTACATAGAGCTAATCTTAAATCAAGAACAAATTATGATAATAATAACTATTATAATATCTGATACCAAGAGATACTCTAGAATACTCTAAGTTAATATAAAAATATTATAAGATATTTTAACAATTAAAATACAAAGGAGTATGAAAACTAATAATATACAGACTCTTTGTCCCATTAGCATACTTTGTTTCGCATTTATACTTCCATCCATTCCTCGAGTTGTTCGTGTATGCTCATTTTAACCAGCTAGGATATAATTTAGAGAAACTAGCTACCAGAAGTGCATGTTGCATAGCTCAAGTTATATCCAAAACTTCATAAGGACGGAATTCTATGAAATTTACAGGCTGCATAGCTCGAGTTATCTGCATTGCTTTTACCTTGGGATTTGTCCTAGTCCCCCCAAAGCCTTTTGTTTTTCTTTCTATTTTAATAATATTTGGTTAGAGTTTAGCAATTTGGGCGTGGGTGCTGGGGTGCAAACCTAGCTGGGATGTCTGTGTGGCCTCATCTTTTTGCTTAAAAAAATCAAATAGTTTATACACTTTTCTTGGATACTTCTAATATTTAATTACGTAACAGCAGAGCTCTAGCCTTGAGGGGGTTCAAGAAAGGGTCAGTTCCGTGATCTGTTGACCTATCTTGGCAATCTTGTGCACTATAAATACCCCATGATTGATAAAAACCACTAATAGTTTTATATTGTTCTGTTTTATTTAGAGTTAGTACTTTGCTAGTGATATTAATATCTCTGTATCTTGAGTAGTAAATCTGCTTTGTCTGTTTGGCAGGCACTGGCTGTTGCTACGCTTGGAGATAACAAGATGGCACAACGAATAGACAATCTTATAGAAGTTGATGATTATAAGAGGTTCTATCTGCAGGTCTTATTAGAACTTTGACTACTTTTATCTTATGCTTTAGTGGTTGTAATCTATACTGAGCAATAGTTGAAAACCCCAACTGGATTGGTTTGCTTGACTTGTGAACCAGTCCTATGTCAAGTTCAGTTTTTGGTTAGAGCTTTAGATGCCATGAACCAAAACAAAAACTCACTGCACTGTCATTCAGTAGGTCTGACCAGATAACTTGATAACATGACGCCACAAAATGAAATCCTTGAGGAAAGGGTAACAAGATGAGGAATGGAAGGAACCTTGTCCACTTTAGTTAACTGGCCATGATGGAAACTACTTAACTATTTGGTGCTGTTGGTGTTATTTGATCAATTCTTCAGTTTTTTTGTTTGTTCAATACCTAGGTTTTAAAAAACTGTTTCTATGTCATTGAAATAAATTATTAGTTTCATTAGAGCATATTTTGTTTAAAGATCGTTTTTCCAGCATAATAAATACATAGAAAATTTCAAATTAGATTCTATTGAACTTGTATGTAATTTAATATCAACGACGCCTCATCTTTTTGAAGGAGTTATTTTCCATAATATAGTAAAATTATTAGTCAAGGAGTTTTTTCTTCATTTATAGCATGCATTGGCATTGCTGTTTCTTTTTTGTGATATGAACGCAACTCATGGGCTCACAATTTTTCTCAAAATACAATCTGAAAGCTAAACCTTTTTGTTTTATATGATCTTCCACGACTTGGTTATTCAATAAAACTAAGTTCATAATAAAGATCTTCAATGACCTGTAATTATACATCTTCCATTTTTTTCAGCTACTGCAACATTTTCTTTTGGACAATATCCTGCATACGCGCATACATCCATACACCCACATATATATATATATTTGTGACAGTTTGTTCACGGAGAAAATTGTTGGGATATGCGAGTTTATTATAATTTTTTTTGTAAAATTTTCAAAATGAAATTGTTGGTTCTAACTCAAGAAAATTGGCAGTATTCGTTTCCTCCTTCATGTGTTGGGGAGGCAGGCCGTATTGGTGCACCGAGTAGAAGAGAAATTGGTCACGGAATGCTTGCTGAGAGATCCCTTGAAACAATTTTGCCTTCTGATAATGACTTCCCTTACACTATTCGTGTTGAAAGTACCATCACAGAGAGCAATGGCTCTTCGAGGTGAGTATATATACAGATAGATCCTACATGAAGCCGCATTGCTTAATTATCCGTGATCGTTATTCTCCTATAAACAATAAATCTTACGTGTTGGGCCACAAACATGTTTCCGCATTCGTATAATAATTTGCAATGTTAGAGATGTTATTAGAGTTTTAGGAATTGGGTTTTAACACACCACGGTTATTTAAAATGATTTTCTTTTTTATAGCATGGCGTCTGTTTGTGGAGGTTGCTTAGCATTGCAAGATGCTGGGGTTCCTATCAAGTGCTCAATTGCTGGAATTGCTATGGGTTTGGTTCTTGATACCAAGGAATTTGGTGGAGATGGAACTCCGCTTATTCTATCTGACATAACTGGATCTGAAGATGCATCTGGAGATATGGATTTTAAGGTTTTTATTTACATAACTGAACTTGTGATACCTATTTGCTCATAATTTTATTTGGTTGAATAACTGATTTTACGAGTTAAGTTGAATTTCTCTTGAACTTTTCGTTTTGTCATTTATATTTGTTAAGAGTAATACTCAGTTCAGTTATGCTCAGCCTTCACTGTAACTGAATCAGCTGAGAATCTGAGTTTTATTTATAACGATAGATATGACATAATCTTTACAGTTTATTTTGTGTTGTTCTTGCTGGGATCCCGCTTCTCACAATAGTAATTAAAGAAACAAACAATATGTATTTCTTTTATATTGTAGTAAGTAATACATGAAAGGTATTTATAGAATACAAGGGACAAATCATTTTAAATGCTAATTCTAAATGCTAATTCTAAATATGGTAGAAAACAACTAATTACTAATTATTATTTACAATGAATATTATGCTGAGTTGTATAACACAAAATTTGTTGATTCTGTACTTATCTCTCTAATAACTTCCAACACTCCCTCTCAAGTTGGGGAATGGATATCTATCATCCCCAACTTGCAAGTCAGATCTCGAAACCGCTCCGAGGGAAGTCCTTTGGTGAGCACATCAGCTAACTGAAGTCCTGATGGGACGTACTGTGTAGAAATAAGACCACTATCAAATTTCTCTTTGATGAAGTGTCGGTCTATCTCTATATGCTTTGTTCTGTCGTGTTAGACTGGATTGTGAGCAATACTAATGGCAGACTTATTATCGCAGAAAAGTCTCATAGGAGCTTCATACTTTATTTTCAAGTCATCAAGAATGATCTTCATCCACAACAGTTCACAAACTCCTTGAGCCATGACTCAAAACTCTGCCTCTGCACTTGATCTGACAATTACATTTTGTTTCTTGCTCCTCCATGTCACTAAATTTCCATCTAGAAACATACAATATCTAGTGTTGGATCTTCTGTCAACAATCTACCCTGCATAATCCGCATCAGTATAAACCTTCATAGACAACTGCTCACTTTTCTAGAACAATAGTCCTCTTCCTGGACTCATCTTTAGATACTGCAAGATTCTATCTACTGCCTGTAAGTGCCTCTCCTGCATAATCATGCATGAATTGACTGACAACACTAACCAGATAAGCTATGTCAGGCCTGGTGTGAGATAGATAAATGAGCTTTTCCACAACTCTCTGGTATTGAGCTTTATCAACCCTTGGGCTTTCCTCATCACTCACAATCTTGTGGTTTTGCTCTATAGGCACTCTGGAGGGTTTACAATCCAACTTGCCAGTCTCTTTGAGAAGGTCAAGGACATATTTTTTGAGAAATGAAAATGCCTTGTTTTGAGTATGCTACCTCCATACCTAGGAAATATTTCAACTTTCCAAGATCCTTCATTTCAAACTGAGCTGCCAACTCCTTCCTCAAGTTCTTCTCAAATTCATCATTATCTGCTATGATCATATCGTCTACGTAGACTAACAAAAGAGTGAGTTTACCATTTTGAGCATGCTTAGTGAGCCTCCCAAACCAAGTCCGGGATGATTGCTTAAGCCCATATATGGCCTTATTTAATCTGCAAACCTTATTACTTCCTGAAGTAGGGTCATATCCGGGTGGGATCTCCATATACACCTTTTCCGCCAAATCTCCATGCAAGAAAACATTTTTCACATTAAACTGTTGCAACTCCCAATCAAAGTGAGTTGCCAAAGAAAGAATGATTCTTATGGTGTTCATTTTTGCTACTGGAGCAAATGTCTCTTCATAATCAATTCCATAGGTCTGGGTGTATCCCTTTGCAACTAGCCTCGCCTTATATCTGTCGAGTGTACCGTCAGATCGATATTTTACCGTATATATCCACCTGCAGCCTACTGGCCTCTTGTCATTTGGCTTCTCAACAATCTCCCAAGTTCCATTATTCTCCAGTGCATGTATCTCTTCATTCATGGCTTGAATACAATTCTTATCCTTTAATGCTTCTTGTACTGATGCAAGGACTCTAATAAAGTCAATAGCTGAAATAAAACTCTGATGCTGCACAAAAAACTTTTCAGTAGACACAAACTGGGATATAGGGTATTTGGTACAAGACCTTTTTTCTTTTCTCAAAGCAATAGGTAGGTCATCAAGGTTTGGCTCACAAGAATTACTAGGCTCAGGGTTAGGAACACTTACCTCAGGTTCAGACGATTGGACTTGTTGGGGCAGAACGAGTTTACCTTTCCACCTTTTTCGCTGAAACTGTAACTTGTATCTGTCAACATTATTATGCACCGGTATTGGTACATCACCACCATCCTCATTAGGCATCAATGGTTTTTGTATTACAGGAAGAACAGACAACTCAGGAGACGACTCTGGGTCCTGTATTATAGGAATAACAGACAACTCAAGAGACAACTCTGGGTCCGGTATTAGAGGAATAACAGGAAGGACAAACAACTCTGAAGACTCTGCTTCTTGATTATTCTTCCCCTGAAGCTGAGGACTGGGATAAAAAGACTCAGATTCCTGAAAAGTAACATCCATGGATATATAGACACGACGGCTAGGAGGATGATAACACTTGTACCCCTTCTTATCTGAAGCATATCATATGAAGATACATTTAATAGCCCGAAGATCTAACTTACCCCGATGGGGACCATGAACATGGACAAAGGCAGAACAACCAAAGACACGATTCTGAAGACTTGACATAATGGGCACAGGCGGAAAGAATCGAGTCAGGACCTGCACAGGACTAACACCAGATAACACCCTAGAAGGTAACCTATTGATTAAATAAGCAGAGGTCAAGACAACTTCCCCCCAATAAAATTTAAGAACATTCGTTTGAAAGCGTAATGCTCGGGTGATTTCAAGAAGATGACGATTTTTCCTTTTAGCAACCCCATTTTGTTGTGGAGTGTCAACACAAGTCAACTCATGAACAACACCATTAGTTTTGAGAAAATTGGGAAAATTTTGGTTTACATACTCCTTACCATTGTCTGACCGTAACCTTTTAATAGGTTTCCCAAACTGTGTTTTAACCATTTGAAAAAAGTTAACAAACAATTGACACACTTCAGACTTATCTTTCATAAGAAAAACCCATGTAACCTGAGTACAATCATCAATAAAAGTAACATACCATTTTGCACCAGAAATATTGGAAATGGATGAAGGCCCCCATACATCAGAATTAGCATGATTAAAGGGTTCGACACTCCTAGTATCATTAGGAGAATAGGTTGCTCGATGGGATTTGGCAATCTGGCACACATCATAATAAAAGGAATCAACAGACACTTTGGTAAATAGGTGAGGGAATAGAGACCTGAGCATGCGGAAAGGAGGATGTCCAAGACGCCCGTGTTGGAGCCATATTTGAGTATTTGCCCATGACTCTGAACCAGCATGATGACATTTGCTTTCTTTATGAGGCAGATAATATAACCCATTCTGTTCCTTAGCAATTCCAATCGTCTTCCCTGTGACAAGGTTTTGAAAAACACAATGAGAATGAAAAAAGGTTACAACACAATTCAAGTCTTTACTGAGTTTATGGATGGACAAAAGATTGTTAGAAAGCTTAGGGACACGAAGCACATGATTTAGGTGGAGAGATGGGCTTAGGCGGATGTTACCAGATTCGACAATTGGGGTTTGGGACCCATTTGCAACGGTAATATGGCGTTTATTAGGTAAAGGTGAATAAGAAGAGAGATATGACATATATGGGGTCATGTGATCAGTTGCACCGGAGTCAATAATCCAGATATCTTTAGAACAAGAGGCATTAAAAGCTAAGAAGCTGAGTTTTTACCAGTCATGGTCTGTTAGAGAACTTACTTAAAGAGTCCATAAAGAGAAATAAACCGTCTCGAGCCAGGAGAGTCGAGATCTACTGTTAGGAGAGGATCGAAGGGCTGCCAATGAGAAACTCCAACGAAGATGACAACCAAACAATCAAGGGTTGAAACAGCAAGAAACAGAGGTATAACAATGAAGGCTGTCCTGAAAACAACAATGAAGGTGAAACCGTCCGGATCTGCAACGACGGTTGAGCAGTGCACGACGGCTGCAAAGTCACCGAGATCACTAGGGTTCCAAGAGAAAGAGGACCTTGACCAAGAAAAAAGGGCCGTAATAAGAACAACTAGTGTTTTGAGCGCGGAAGCAGAGCCCCTAGAATCGGGTGCTCTGATACCATAAAGAAACAAACAATTTGTATTTCTTTTATATTGTAGTAAGTAATACATGAAAGGTATTTATAGAATACAAGGGACAAATCACTTTAATTGCTAATTCTAAATGCTAATTCTAAATATGGTAGAAGATAACTAATTACTAATTATTAATAGCTAATTACTAATTATTATTTACAATGTATATTATGCTGTGCTGAGTTGTATAACACATAATCTGTTGATTCTGTACTTATCTCTCTAATAACTTCCAACAGTAATTAACATAGAAACTAGATCAATAATGGAAAAACAAGGAATATATTATTTCTGAAAATTAAAGCAAATTGTAGAAAGATGAATGCTCTACTTTCCACAGAGCTGAGCTCTTTCAGAGAACAATGCTCTTTACCCTCATCCACAGCTAATCCCCAAACGTTTCTCCAAGATACTCTCACTCTCCCTCAGACTCGATATAATATAATTCATCTCATAAATATCCACCCTCACTCTCTGCTACATTTGCATTCTCTCTGCTCCTCTTATTTTCCCTAAAACATAAATTGACCACACCATGGGCTTGGGTAGTTGATGTGCTATCTCTTCATTTAAGCCCACATTCTCATTTTCCTGTGTACAGTTTTCAGGAATACAAAGTTGCTTGCTGGCTTTGTCTCTCACTACCCCTCATTCGCTTTTGCTTTTTTGCTGGTTCTTGGTTTTCAGGATGGTATCAAGCCATGCATGGCATCCACTCAATCAATTCTATATCTCAAACTCTTTTGTGAACCCCGTCTCCGCTCCTGTTGCATTTAGCATTCATACCCATGTGTGTAGATGACACCTTTTTGCTTTGGAAACAACAATTTAGTGGGTTAATCAAGGCTTATAAGCTACATATTGTTCCTATGAAAACAGATGCATGAGATGGCGAAATCTACATATTGTTCTCAAGAGAAAACAGAGGCATGAGATGGCGAAACCTACATATTGTTCTCAAGAGAAAACAGAGGCATGAGATGGTGGAACCTTGTGTTTCAACTACACAACAGAGTCAGATTTATTGAGGTTCAAGACAATAAATACACAATGAATATAGGAGATATTGTTTCTATTTACATTTTAAGATATGATACAATATTCCTATCCAATAAATGTGAAGGCAATAAATACACAATGAATATAGGACATATTATTCCTATTTACATTTTATGATATGATACAATATGCCTTCCAATAAATGTACAGATCCTAATATATTTTCAACACTTCCCTCAAACTGGAGCATATAAACCATATGCACCGAGCTTTGTTACTATGATAATTGATTCGAGGAGCTCTTAGGGGTTTGTGAAAGCATCTGCTAGTCGAACATCAAAGCTAAAAAAGCCTGTTCTCTGGTGTTTCATGATGCGATCTTCTCCTTCTGAAATGGAAATCAATTTCAATATATTTGGTCCTCTCATGGAAATAAAATTAGAGGCGATATGCTATAGGGTTTGTTTTTCACATATTAGGGTCATTTGCACAATCTCTTAAAACTGAAGCTAGCAAAAAAAAAATTGTATCAACCAAATAAGTTGTCATAATCCGCTAATGCCATGGCCATCTATTAAGCTTCTAAACTGACTATTTGAGTATTTTTCACATATTAGGGTCATTTGCACAATCTCTTAAAACTGAAGCTAGCAAAAAAAAAAATTGTATCAACCAAATAAGTTGTCATAGTCTGCTCTAATGGCATGGCCATCTATTAAGCTTCTAAACTGACTATTTGAGTATGTCCTAAGCCATTTTTCTGTGGCACTTTCACTGTATGTTAGGACCTATGAAGTACAGACTCCGACACGGACACCGCGACACAGACACGGACACTCCGACACTGATATGTCAAAAACCTAGGACACCGACACTGCTGTATAAGTCATACACCCTCCCCGGACACATTTATAAGCAACAAAAAGCTTTTTAGATTTATTGAATAATTGATGTATCTGATATAAAATAATGACTAGATACATAATTTATTCAATGAATTTAAAAAGCTTTTTGTTTATAAATGTGTCCGGAGGGTGTAGTATTTGAGTTTCATTTATTCATCTAATATCAGAAGAGTTAAAAATATTCTAATCAAAATTAATATCTTTAATTCTTTATTGTTAACTTTGTTTCAATACATGTTTAACCTTTTTAATCGTGGATGAGATTTGTCTATAAAATATATAAAGTGTGTTGAGGAAAAGAAAAACTCAATTTTTTAAAAGAAATTGTGTCTGATTTCTCAGACACGTATTGTATGAGTGTCATATGGTATCCGATACCCATTCAAAATGTGTCAAAGCAAAGAAAAGAAACTAATTTTTTGATGACACTTGTCTGACTTTTCTGACACTTGTTTGACTTTTCCGACATGTGTTGTATGGGTGTCAACAAGTGTCGGACACCGCGACACGCCTACTTCTAGAGGTGTCCGTGCTTCATAGGTCAGGACTCATGGCTCGATACTCACAATGGCGGATCTTGACAAAATTTGTTGAGGGTGGCTAGCCTTTACACATATAAATATAATACATGCGAGATAAAAACAACAATGTTCTATCGGCTTAGTGGTAAAATTCCATGTGTTTCTCAAAGTAAAAAATTAAATGAGACCAAAAATGTTTACAGCAGGGTTCGTACCACCTTACGCGTCAACAGATTTCACATGGAAATACCACTAAGCTAAAGAAAAGTTAGTATGATATGTCACATATTACTGTAAATATATAAAAAGGTTGTGGTGCCGTGGCCCCCACCCGCCCTAGTGTAGCTCCGCCACTGGATACTCCGCCTCTGTACTATATCAGTATAATAAATATCCTAACGGATTCTATTATAATTATAATATCTAACAAATCTGATAATGGCTCCCCATGACCAATGGCGTAAAATAGAAAAACTGAGGCCCAAAATGGAACAGGCTGGGAAGGTGACTTGGGCGACAAAAAAGTGGACCGGAAAGCCGCCAAGTATTCATCCTTGTACAGCGGAGGGGGTGGTGCTACTTTAAACTGCAGCACATTGTACCCGCGTGTAAGGAGGTGGTTGAATCTGCAAGGTGGGAAATGGGGACAGTGATGTCTAAATTTTAGAAGGTGGCCCATGTTGTATCTGAACTGACAATCCCTCTTTTGCGACACATGTGAGGAGGGCACATCTGAAAGGACGAATGAATGACTGGCCATGAAACTTTAGATTTTGACTACCTTCAAGTCAGGAATCCTTTGCTCTGGTTTTGTTTGTCACTAGGCTCTGAATTGCTCGACAAGTTTAGGGTGTTGTTGTCAATTTTCACTGATGCATTCACCCTGAGTTTTGAAGGGTAAATGTTAGAGTAATACTTAGGTCAGTTATATTCAGCTGTTATATTTTTGTGATGCTGATGATGCTTTTGCATGTTATTATGTTCAGCTGTTAGTTTAACTGGCATTACAATTTTGTACATAAAGTAGTTGGGGCTCTATTTGATTCTTTATTATAAATATTAAATAGTTTTGTTAGTTTTATTCAGCTAAAAGTTCTCGAAAACTGTAAGCTCCGCCGATTCTCTATATTGCTCTTTCATCTTTGTTTCACTTATTTTTGGTTTCTGCCACTAGCTGATTTTTTATTTCAAAACATATTTGATGATATTGGTATATTAGAGGGATCTTCTGAAAATGATATAATGCAGGTTGCTGGGAATGAAGATGGCATAACTGCATTTCAGATGGACATTAAGGTTAAGTAGTATAAACATTTTTATGCTAGTAGTAATGTCTCGACATGTTTATTTCCTTTTTTCTTGTTTGTTTGGATTACGAAAAACTGCTTATTTTCTCTTAAGGTAAATCATTTATTAATAGGCTTCTAGTAGTAATTTTCTCCTGGATAAGTAAATAATAATTTTTGAGTATTTGATATCTATTTTTTAATATAATATTGTTCTCTAAGGGCTATTAATGTATTGGCATTACAGGTAGCTGGAATTACTTTGCCCATAATGAGAGACGCACTGCTACAGGCAAAAGACGGCAGGAAGCATATACTTGGTAAGTTCAAAGTTGAAACACATTAGGTGTGTATTTGGTTGAATGTTTAAAAAAGATTATTACAAGTACATTGATACTGTAAAATTGATTTACTTATAATTGACTTTGAAGTGAAGTGATTTATAAATGAATGTTTTTACTCAAAAGCATGTTTGAAACAAAACCTAGTGTTTCAAGCCAATCAAAAGCTACTTTTTAGCATTTTTAGTTAAAGTGAGATACAGAGACAATCAATTTTGCCTGATTATTACCAAACACCTTTATTTTCACTAAACTTACGTTTGACATAAAGTAAAATCAGTTCCTATACTCTAACCATGAAACCAAACACATACGAGAACCTAGAAGGGAGAATCAAAAGAGAATTGATCCAAAAATATGTGAATTTTGCTAATGATTTGCTTCTGTTTGATCTGATAGTCACAATGATATTTATGTATAAACCCAAGCTTGCCTTGCAAGCAATGAAGCACAAACACAATACGGGTATCAAATACAGTACATATCCGTTACGACGATACATCAGTCATTGAAATATATAGGATGCAATATGTTTAAGATACATATATGACAGTTATAATTAAAATTAACCATTAGTTAAATCATTGTCTACCAAAAACCAATTGGATTTGCAAAATTTAATAGTTCGTAAAGAAATTATGAGAAAAAGAAACCTATCTTAAAAAATGGTAATCGTGAGAGAATATTAAATGGGTGCATCACAAATTACATAGGAGAGAGAAGACGTAATTAAAGTTGAGAGAAAAGTAATTAAGTAGGGGAAAGTTTGATTCTTGTCTTAGAAAAATGGATAGTCATGAGAGGTAAATAAAGTTGAGAGAAGATTAATTAAGGAGGGGAAAGTTTGATCTGTTTTTCTTATCTGAATTCTTGGAGTTTTAAGTTAAACATCTTTGGTTATTTTAGAGGTCCTATACAAATATATATAT